TGTTCGTCAATATTTAATGATAAAAAATACATCATTATAATCTTTTCATCAACGAAATAATCCAATGGTTTACTCCATAATATTGGTACTGTCATTCTACACCATGTTCGATTCACAAGAAGGCATGAAAATAAACTTCCACGATATTTCGTAAGGTCACTGAAATTTTTGAATATTTCATAAAGGCATTCATTTGGTAATCGTTCGATCATTTTTAAAATTGTAAAGTTTATGAGGTACAGCAAATTCACATTAAATACGTGTTACAACCTTTGAAGTGACACAAACACAATATAGTTTAATTAGTCATTGTTTGCAATCACATTTCCATAATTATACTGTACAAGTAACGGAATTTTACGGAAATGGATGGGAGTAACTCTGATCAAATTTGTAGATCACTGCACAATCGCCTGATTGCTGTCTGATTACGTGCTCGTAAAGTGCCAAAGATATATCTGTATATTGAAAATATAATACAATATTTTTCAATATATCTATGCTCACTAAAAAAAATCATATAGTCGCGCAACCGGACAACAATCAGGTGATTGTTCAAGTGATTATAAACTACCCCTTCAAAAAAAGTGATATTTTTGTGGCGCAAACCAATCACGGGTGTAACGTAACACGATCAGGAAAATTCGAAACAAACGTTCGTAACTCAAAAATCAGCGTAGGAAACCACCTTTGGTGCCTTAACAAAAAGTCTTCCTTGTGCGATTTTACTACCTACCGTAACAATTAACCTTAATACAGACACTAATCCTAACTTAAACGAGCTTGAAGATTTTTTGGAACGCCACAAATATGTCACGTGTCCGTGATACTGCTGTACTGGGGAAGATAAAGATAGTGATTATACGTATACAGTGTATACAGTAGGTGTGCAGCGATCTACAAATTTGATCACAGTTACATAAATATGCAAACCGTGATTTAACAATATAAAAATGCCGCAGAAAGAAAACAGACTTCAGCTTTTTAAACTTACTGGATTTGACCTTAAGAATAGAATAGAGTTCAGTAAGTTATGAATTTAAAGTCAAAGTTTTAGCATCATTTGTAATTTTCAATTTTATGATTTATTTTAGCTCATGCAAATTTTAGCAATGAAGATTTTATTTATAAGCGTGATTCTAATGAAACTTCAATATTTAGTACCCCCTGAAAAAAGTATCCTCTTTAAGCTGTATCGGGGTACTATTCAATTGTAGAATTGTAGATTCTAGTATTTTGAGAAGTATTCTGGTACTGATCAAGTAGTCCGAATAAATGGCCTTGTTATATAATAATAATTCTTCTTCAGTATACCCCTTCTATGGTATTCCTCTCTTCACATAGTACTTCGGGGTATTATTTAATTCATCTTAGATTTCTTCTAAAAGATTAGGTACTGTATGTAGAGCTGTATGGTAATATTTTCTGTTTTTTTTTTTTTTTAAAAAAAAAATTTATATCAGTTTGTAATCTCAATCCGTTATCTGTTAAATAGTAACTGATGTTTAATTAGATTGCGTATAGAATTGTTAATTCTGAAATAACCATATTAAGCTAAATTGATCTGCAAGTTCAAGGCTAGTTGGAAAAAACTGTGACCATGCGAATTCACTTTGTAATATTGTGCAAGTGCAGGTAGACTACCTCAAATAATTAGGAGAAAAACTATATAACAATAATACATAAAATATTTCAATATACTAAATAATTTCTTGCAAATGAAAGAAAAAACAGTCAAGCTTGTATTGTAAATTAGAGAATCGATTCTGTCATCACTAACTTGTCAAATAATTATCAATTGATTTTATTAGTAGTATTTTGAGGCAGGTTTATATTATATGATTTAATTAAGATTTTGAAATTAATGTACTGCTTTAAAATTTTATATATTAAAATTTCCATAGTATTTATTGATTTATGTCTGAATGAGGCAACAGGTTTTATACGAATATAATAATTTTTATTTGTCATATTTAGTATCAAGGGTCATTGATTATCGTAGTGTAAACTGAAAAAGTGTATAAAGAGTTTATTAAATGACCATCAATTCAATGGGTTAGGTGGATTCTGTATAAAAATGCGTTGCAATGTTTATTTTGTGACTATCAAATAAATGCTTTAAGGAGAATCAAGTAAGAACAACAATAATGATAATAATAATAATTAATGTAATTAAATCCTATAAAGATTATTTTAAAATATATACTAATTATTAAAGTTATACAAAGATCTAAATAAATGACATGTAGTTTAAAAATAAAGAATAATTCGTAATGCAAATGCCTCTATGATTCCTAAAACCGTTTCTAAAAAAACTATGTGGTTTATTACATACAAATTCACTGAGAATCTACTGTGGGATCTGCACCTGATTTTACAACCACAACAGTATGAGAATATTTCTGAGGACTGAGATATTGTATAAAATCACCTGGTTTCAATTTAGACAATTGACATTCTTTTGCCAACTTGTGACTAATGAGATAATCATAAAATACTTCCACATTAATCCATGTGTATGTGTATGGTTTCCAATCTTGATTTGTAAAAACACTACCTGCATTTAAAACTTGTGAAGCAAAATTAGTACAATCTACTGAAATATAAATTTTGTACTTTGAATTTGCATTTTTACAATTTTGTCCAGCATAATCAACAGCTTTTTGTCTATCATAACCAGAAGGTTTAGAAGGAAGTGGATTAGAATGAGGTGGATTAGATGATTATAGATTAGAATGAGATGGTTTAGATGGTAATAGATTAGATGGTGGCGACTTAGAGTCTTTATTAATCCATTTGTCAGAAGGACATCCTGTACATTTATCATTCTTGCAGCAATAGCTTTTTTTGCTACTGATAGCACAACATCCATGTGAGTAAGTACCATATCGACAAATGCTAGTACCATTTGAGCCATATTGAAAAATGGAGCTGGGATCAGAAGAGCAAACTATATTTTTTTTCAGAATTAAGTTATTATTAACAAGCTCTCTCTTTAATAATAAGGTTAATTTAAAATTAATATTTATAATTATTAAGTTCATAACCACATTTGAGGTCACTAATATTATCATTTTTATCACATATACAGCCACCAGCATCACTACAAGTTGCAAAAGCACTTGAAATAAGAAAAACCAAGAAACTAAAAAAAGTAATAATATGGAAATTCATTTTCTTTATCGTTTTTTGAAAACTTATTATTTGTAAGAATTTACTACAGACCTATTTAAATAATTTTCTATAATATATTAATTATAGAAAAATAATTATATAATTATTATGCATTTACTAGTCAGTTAATTCGAGGATCAAATATCATAAATTATACATTACTTTCTGATTTATGAATTGGTTTCATATATTTTTCTAAAAATGTAATAAAATAAAAGATCTTTAATTAATTAATAATTAGCTTTGATAAATTAATTAACTTCAATGAATGAATTAGCTTTAATGAATTAATTAACTTTAATTAAATTATTTGTTTTAATTAAAACTATTAAATTTGTTCCAATATGTGTCTGAATATATTGAACAGCATATCAGTGAAATATTATGAGTCTGTTTTGAGATTCATGTTCTTGCAAAACAAAAATTATTTAATTTAATGTTTTTTAAAATTTTTTATATTTCAATAATAAAAATTTATTTATATTTCTATTTTTAAAAAATCTTCTTTCAGAAAATATCAGTGATTATTCAAATTCTTGTTCTAAACTTTTTTTGCCTTTTATACTTATTCATTCTCTTTTTGGAATTTTTTAAAACTTTACTCAATTACTAATTTTTAATTCCACCAATATATTTATATATAGAAAATATATTTTTAAGCTATATGTTCTTAAATTTTTTTTATAGTGAACATTTTTAAAATATATTCTCATAAGAACATAGGAATATAAGATTTCTAGCACTAATCAAAATATCTTATTTTTAGGCTAAGATAACAAAAATAACTATTCAAATATGTAGATGATTCATATAAGAAAATTAATCTAAATTAAGATTGTTACGTGTCCATAGTACATTTTGTTGAGGAAATATAACTGGTAAGCATCTGTAGACTTTTTGATTTAATTATACATGATTGTCATTAAGTTGTAAAAAAAAGTTAAGAGATTAATGAAGAATCAAAGAATATGTTATAAGGCAAAATAAAAGCATTAATTTATCTGTTAAATTTACTCTCGCTACATAGTAAGTTATGCGAGCTTTTAGGAGAAGTATTGTAAAATATGTAAAAAAATATTTATCAATTGTGTAACAATATTGGAATCTATATATTAGTTTCTTCATATTTATTCTATACTCATTGATTCAATCTATGTATCCAAAATTATTAAAAATATAAAGTTAGCCAAAAAAGGAATTTAAATTCTGTTGTTAAAACACTTTGATATTTATGATATTCTTTATTAAAAATGTCCAAGACTACAGTAATTAGAAAACAAATTGCATATAGGCTATTATACGAAATTACAATATATTTCTGAAATTAAGCACCTTCTTACATTCTATATACATCTGATATACCAGAAAAGGTGTTATAAAATCATGAAGTGTATGGTTTATTTGAGAAATAAATGATATTCATTTATGAAATCAATTATCAGATTTGTTAACATGATTATAGCTGTTATATATTAATTTTTTATATTAATATATCACATGAATTCGTTTATAATATAAGTGTTGTATTTAAAGTTCGCTTCTGCTTGAAGTTGAACTAAATTAAATTAGCTGAAATTAGAACTTGCATGCATTAGTTAGCAAGTTTAAGTTCAAACATAATATAGTCATGGTTTCAATTTTCTTTGTAATCAAAATTCAGATTCTTATAATTACATTATTTGCAATGCCAATGCACTAATTTTGTAAGTATAATAATTGATATTTTTAAAATTATTAAGAATTTTCTATTTTTAAATATTTTATTTAATAAGACACATAGTAATTATTTACATTTTCTGTGATCCCAACTCACATATCCTTTAATAATTTGTATCCTATAATGCAAATATTCAAAACTAAAAAATTTTAAAACATTACTAAAAAAATTTATTTTAATTGTAAAAATTAGTGCAATTAAATTTTACAATCATTGTTTTAAATTACTAATTATTAAAATTATAACAAAAAAACCAAATATATAGTATACTGTGATTTGGAAATTATTTTTATGCAATGCAAATTTCTCTATGATCCCTAAAGTCACTTTTAAAATTACTATGAAATTTATTATACACAAATGAACTGTAAGAATTTACTATTGGATCTACATCTGATTTTACAACTACAACATTATAAGAATACCTTTAGAACCAAGATATTGTATAAAGTCACCTGGTTTTAATTCAGACAATTGGCATTCTTTTGCCAATTTATAACTAATAAGATAATCATAAAACTCTTCACAATTAACCTATGCATATATGTACAGTTTCCAATCTTTATCTGTAGGAATACTATTTGCATTTAAAACTTGTGAAGCAAAATTAGTACAATCTACTAGATTATAATTTTTGTACTTTAAATTTGCATTTTTACAATATTTTCTAGCATAATTAACAGCCTTTTGTCTATTATAACCAGAAGAAGGTGAATTAGGTAGTGATGGATTAGATGGTAGTAGAGTAGATGGTAGTGGATTAGATGATAGTGGTAGTATGTTAGACAGTAGTGGAGTAAATGGTAGTGAATTGGATGATGGTAGTAGGTTAGATGGTGGTAGATTAAATGGTAGTGAATTAGATGGTTGTAGATTAGATAATGGCAAATAAGACTCTTTTTTAATCCATTTGTAAGAAGAATGCCCTAAACACTTATCGTCATTGTAGCAGTAGCTTTTTTCATTATCAACTGCACAACAGCCATTTGAGCAAGAACCATATTGACAAATATTAGTGCCATTTGGGCTACATTGAAAAATGGAGCTAGGATCAGAAGGGCAATCTATGTTTTTTCAGAATTGAGACATTATTGATAAGTTTCTAATTTTAATAATAATATTAATAAAAAATTAACTTAAAAAGCAATGTTTATGATTATTAAGTTCATGACCACATTTGAGCCCACCAAGATTATTATTTTTATCACATGTACAGCCACTAGCATTACCACAAGCAGTGAAAGTACTAGAAATAAGAAAAACCAGGAAGCTGAAAAAAGTAATAATATAAAAGTTCATTTTTTCACTATTTATTATTTGTGAGAATTCACTGCTGATTATTTAAATCATTTTTTCTATAATATGTTAAAGAAAGAATAATTATATAATCACCATGTATCTGCTAGTCAGTCAATTTGAAAATCAAATAAATAAATGAAGCACAACATTTTAATTTATAAATCAGTCTGTATATTTTCTAATAAAGAATAAAAGCATCTTTAATTATTAATAATTGGCTTTATTTAATTAATTTTTTTATGCATCTTATTTATTCATTAACAAAGATTGCTACAAATTTTATTGCTTTATTCAGCAGTTCATTGATGCATTGCTGAGCAGAACTCATATTAATTATGCGTTAACTTTGTTTTACTTTGCTTTAATGCATGAATCGACATGATAATAGTCCAAAAAGGAAAAATTAATAAAAATAATCTTTTTTTTATCAATATGTATTATTATTGCTTGATCAGATGACTTTATTAAAAAACAAAGCTGAAAAACATTTTAGGAATAGGATCCACTATCTAGTTGAAAGCTCTATATTAAGGCAAATAAACAAATTTGCAAGGTTTTATAAATAGAATTTAAAATTGACTTGCACAAAATTCACATGTATAAAGGTTTTTATTTAATGTACAAGAATATTGTAAAAATTTATGCAAAAGTATACACAAAGCTGTTATAAAAACTATATTAGTGCAAGCAAAAAATTTTTTTATTTGTAATTGTATAAGTAAAATATAATTTTTACTTGCAACTATGCAAGTAACTTTTGTTCTAAATTTTAATCTTTGTCTATAACTCTGAAATTATTAAACCTATTTTCAAAAATACACTAGATATCAAACAATGCAAAATATAGTAGATAATTTCATTATATAAACTTTTTAGATTTGAAAATTGTAGATCATTGGTTATTTTCTAGCATATAATTATTAATTATTATATTTATTACAATTAAGATGTACCAATTTTTAAAATTTTTTTTTTACTAAATTTAAAAATTCTATATTATAAAAATTGTCAAATTTTAACTACAAGCTTATAAAATATTATTAATAATCTAATATTTAATTTACTTATATGTATTTTATTGAAAATTGTTTTTTTTACAAATTTAATATTTTTTATTTAATTTAACTAATAATATATGTTATTTTGAGATTTTGCTAACCATTATTGCAAATTATTAATACTACTTATATGTTCAATAAATCTGATCTTATATAACTAAAACAATAATAAAACTAAGCAAAAAAACTAAAAAATTGTTAATAACTATATATTGGTAATCTTATTAAGCATAATACACCAATCTGATACATTTGAATTAAAATGTAGTTATATAAGTTTTATATTAGCTTATAATTAAATAAATATATTTAATATTTAACTATTTATATAATATATTTTATAAAAAATTTAAATCAATTGTTAATTAAATATTGTTCAAAAAAATCTCAAAGTTAGTTAACTTTTTAAAAATAATTAAAAAAATTAAAAATTTTTAATATATTTATAAATTAACTAATTAAAATTAAGTATTTTTTATACTAATACACAAGTATTTTAGTATAATCTTGCTATATAAACTTGTAAAATTTTAACTATATTATTATGCAAAACAAAAAGTTATAGTAATATATATATATATTGTTAGGTTTAGAAAATTATAATTCTATTATTTTATAATACAAAATGGCATGTAATATAAGATAGATAACCTTTTTAAAAGAGAGTGTTAGATTTGGCTAATAGGTAATTAAGGTTTTCAGTTACTTTGAATCAATAAATACAAGTAAAATAAGTCATGTAAACAAAAACTTAAATGAATAATAAAGTTTAGAGATTTAACAGAATATGTACTGTGTTTAGTATTAGTATTTTATTATAAATATTATAATATATTGAGACTTGTATTTTAATAAAGCCAACAAAGTGTACTGCTTTTTTTTTTTTTTTTTTTTTAACTTAGGCAGCCTTGCCAATCACCTTTATTAAGATTCTTGTATATGTGTTATACAAAGTTGACTTAAATTTTGGTTTGACATTCTCTAGCTACTTCTATGAGTGCCCAAGTGCAGTCTGCCACACAGGCCAGGTGATTATTCCTAGCCTGAGGCTATACCAAGCTAGCCAGTAAAACCCTGAAAAAAGGGTCTTACATTTCTATTTACAAAACTAAAAACTGAACTGA